AAAGGATACATTTCTATGCTAACTTAATATCCATCATATTCTTTCATTACTGAATCCAACACATCCATTATGATAAATATTTGTTGAATAAATTTAAATTGATGCCTTAAAAAAAAGCTCTAAGTCTATATTTTCGTCATTCTTCTATGGAACAAACTTATCCGTTGTTGTCTTTGTAAATTATTAGATAACTTTGAATAAGTGCTTATCTCATTTAATATGTATATGTATGTATGGATTGTTGTTGAGATTATATTGATTATCGATTATTCCATTACTATTTACAGCAGCCTGTAATATATATACCTCTTTTTTCAAATTTGTTTTTTTAAAGAGGAACAAAGAGATAACTGGTGGTGATTAGTATTATAATATTGTTGATAAAAAAAAAACAAAGAGATAACTATATCTCTCCAGCTCTTAAAGAATGGATGGATGCTATAGAAAAAAAACAAAACTTAATTACAAATTTTTTTTAATGTTTTGGTTTGTACACTACTAGTCTTGTGTTAAAAAAAAATCAAAAGAATATATATTCTTTTATAAATTTGGGATAAAATCTCTTTTAAGAATTTGGTAGGGGCTTTATTATAAATTTCAGTTAAAAAATATTTTATAAAAAAGTGTTATAAAACTTGATTGTGACAAAAAATAATTTTTAAACAATTTTTAAATGAAAAACGAAAATATTAGTTAAAAATTATTTTGCTTTATTATAGAAAGAAATATAAATTTAGCTATAGAAAATTTTGTAAAAGATTTTGTTTTGCTTCAAATTTTCCATGTCATCTTTTTTCAAGTCATGTCACAAATTTTTTTATGAGAGTGATTATGGAAATAACAAATAAGCATCTTCTTAGAAATCACTTGTCAAATAATATATAAGAGATTTGTCTTTTTGAAGAGGAACAAAGAGATAACTATACCTCTCCAACTCTTAAAAAAATGGATGCTATAGAAAAACGACAAAAGTTGATTACAAAACTTTATTTAATGGTTTGGTTTGTACACTACGTGTCTTGTGTTAAAAAAATCAATAGAATATTTATATTCTTTTATAAATTTGGGATAAAATCTCTTTTAAATTTTTGGTAGGTCTTTATTATAAATTTCATTGAAAATATATTTTATAAAAAAGTGTTATAAAACTTGATTATGACAAAAAAAATAATTTCTAAACAATTTTTAAATGAAAACGAAAATATTATAAAAATATTAGTTCAAATTATGTTGTTTTATGTATAGAAAGAAATACAAATTTAGCTCTAGAAAATTTTGTAAAATATTTTGTTATGATTCAAATTTGTCATGTCATCTTTTTCAAGCAATGTCATAATTTTATTGATGAAAGTGATTATGGAGATAACAAATAAGCATTTTCTAACAAATCACTTCTCAA